TCGGGGAGGTTTGTACTCGGTAAATCTTTGCAAATCAAAGTTAATCTTTAGGGAAATTAGGGGATAGGTAGGGTGAATCAGGGGTATATGAGTACAAAAAGACTTAGTAATAAAAAAAAGTGGTTAGGCGGTTTCGGCTCACGGGGCAAGGAAAAAGGGTATAGGTGAGAAAGCAGCATATAAAATGTTCAAGTCTTTTTGTACTCGTTTAAACCTCTTTACCCCTATTTATCCCCCTATTTACTTCTATCTATCCCTGCTTTTACCTATCCTCATATATCCCTGATTACCCCCTAACACGAATAAATGTTTGAAGAAAGCTTGCTTTGAAAGTCAGGAAAGCCGGGGGAAAGAGAACCCCCTTCAGTCTACTCCTCGCCTAAGGCGAGGGCATATTCGCCCTCTCGCACTACTCCTCTCACACTCACAAATTCTCACTTTATTACCTTGTTCTTTTCCAGTTAATCCAGGGCTTGAACCATCGACTGTATACTTGGCAGATCATCGTCTTCACCATCACACCACCAGTTCTTGTGGTGTAAGCCTAGAGTTTTTTATTTTACTTAATCCTTTTTAGAAGGATCTTTGATGAAATAAAAGAAAAAAAAACATTCCCATCTAAGACTCGAACCTCCGTCTTTAAACTCGGAGAGCACTGCCTTTACCAGTAGACCGCACGATCTTGCGGTGAAATGCTATACTTTTTTATACTACTGAATACCTTATGGGTAGGATCTCAAATGAAATGAACATTTAAAGGAGTTCTTTTTAATGTTCATGATTTATTTTCTCGTCTAAAACACGCACACAATTGTATCTTATGCGTAGCTTGTAACATAATAGTAGGCATTTGTGTTCTCGCTATCAGTTAGTTGTTATATGCGGCGCAAGTGAAGCTAATGGTTACGGTGGGCTTGTTTTGTATTTTTAATGAAGTGAAGTCAAAGTAAAGTACAAGAATTAATAATGCATTTCAAAATAGGCTTAAAAGAAAAAACTAAAAGAATTAAAAATAGCCGAATTCATATTAGGGCGGATTTATATTAGAAACTCATCTGAGACGGAAAAGTTGCTAGTAAAAACCCGTCTGAATATGATGAATTTGGCTATGCCTATGGATGAATTTATTCGTCCTTGACCGTGCTTATATCAGAAACTCGTCTGATTCATCCGTCTAAATACGAATTCAAGACGAGCTTCTCTTCCAGACGGGATTCCCGATACCTCGTAGTCGTACTCTCGAAGATTACATCTGAAATCGCAAATACATGAAGCAAATATCCAGTTAAACAGACATTGAGTATTTATTTTAAGACTTTGCTGTATAAAGAGTCGAAATACTAGCTGGTCTAGCAGGTTCGTCGAATATAAAATACGCTAAGAAAAAAGAAGTTCAGTTCAAAAGAGCAAACAAACAAACAGCAACTCTACAATATTACTACAACGACTTATAATTATTCATTTTAAAGTTCTTCGAAGAAACGATTAAGTCAAATAGAGAACAATAGCTTATCGATAAACGATGTGGTCGTCAAGCAGTTGGTCTCTTTAGGCGTTAAGACGTTGGTCTCTTTAGTACAAAGGCTCAAATATTAGATTATATAGCGGATTTTCTTTTGGACGAACCGGCCAGACTAACCGGCGAGAAACAGTTTAAAATAAATATTCAATGTCTGTTTAACTGGATATTTGATAATTTGTAATTTCAGATGTAATGCTTGTTACCCCATGACTATACGAGTTATATACATTTAGCCGAATTCATATACACGTGAAACTCATCAATAACGGGAAACTCATCGAAGACGGGAGACTCGTCTGATGTGAACCTCACAGGTGGCTTTCTCGTCCCAATTTTCCCGTCCAACTTTCCCGTCTAAATAAAGAGACGAGTAAGTTTGACGGGAATCCCGTCTGGAAGAGAAACTCGTCTTAAATTCGCATTTAGACGGATCAGTAAATCAGACGAGTTTCAGAAGTATCAGCACGGTCAAGACTACGCATAATAAACACAATAATATACTATCACATTCAGACGGGTTTTTACGGCTATCAACTTTCCAGTCTTAGTAAGATGAGTATTCGGCTTTTCTTAATTCTTGTACTTTACTTTGACTTCACTTCATTAAAAATACAAAACAATCGCACCGTAACCCTTAGCTTAACTTGGGCCGCATATAACAACTAACTTGCGGATAAACTAGTGCTTTAAGGCACTTCATACCTGTATATGTGATATTTTAGCGAGAACACAAATGGCTACTATTAGCTTACAAGCTATACGCATAAGATACAATTGTGTGCGTGTTTTAGACGAGAAAATAAATCCTGAACATTAAAAAAAACTCCTTTAAATGTTCATTTCATTTGAGATCCTACCCATAAGGTATTCAGTAGTATAAAAAAGTATAGCATTTCACCGCAAGATCGTGCGGTATACAGGTAAAGGCAGTGCTCTCCGAGTTTAAAGACGGCGGTTCGAGTCTTAGATGGGAATGTTTTTTTTTCTTCTATTTCATCAAAGATCCTTCTAAAAAGGATTAAGTAAAATAAAAAACTTTAGGCTTACACCACAAGAACTGGTGGTGTGATGGTGAAGACGATGATCTGCCAAGTATACAGTCGATGGTTCAAGCTCTGGATTAACTGAAAAAGAACAAGGTAATAAAGTGAGAATTTGTGAGTGTGAGAGGAGTAGTGCGAGAGGGCGAATATGCCCTCGCCTTGGGCGAGGAGTAGACTGAGGGGGGTTCTCTTTCCCCCGGCTTTCCTGACTTTCAAAGCAAACTTTCTTCAAACATTTATTCGTGTTAGGGGGTAATCAGGGATATATGAGGATAGGTAAAAGCAGGGATAGATAGGAGTAAATAGGGGGATAAATAGGGGTAAAGAGGTTTAAATGAGTACAAAAAGACTTAAACATTTTATATGCTGCCTTCTCACCTATACCCTTTTCCTTGCCCCGGGAGCCGAGGCCGCCCAATTACTTTTTTTTTTACTAAGTCTTTTTGTACTCATATACCCCTAATTCACCCTACCTATCCCCTCATTTCCCTAAAGATTAACTTTGATTTGCAAAGATTAACCGAGTGCAAACCTCCCGCAAGCAACATACCTACCATTTTTTTCTTTTGTTTTCCACCGCCATGAGAAACGTTCCATACCGTTCTTGATACCACGATCTTGTACTTGATAGTCCACGACTTTACCACAAGGCTAACTGTGATTTTGAAGCCTACACCAATTTATTCACCATAACCTTACCATGTTTTATTAATAACGAAAATTTTCATCTAAAATGAGATTCGAACCTTTGACTGTCGCAACATGAGACTAACATCTTGACCACAACACTGCAAGACCTTGTGTTGAACGGCTATGGTTATTTAATTTACTTTATCCTTCACACGAAGCTCATAATGAAAAACGGTTATGGTAGGATTCGAACCATTGATTTAGGACTTGGGAGGCCATCGTCTTATCCACTAGACCTCGAGATTTTGTGTTGAACGGCTATGGTTATTTTATTTATTTCATCCTTTTCAGGAAGTTCATGATGGAAAACGGTTAAGGCGGGATTTGAACCATCGATTTACCACTTGGGAGACCATTGTCTTCTCCACTAGACCACTAGATCTTGTGCTGAACGGCTGTGGTTATTTATTTACTTTATCCTTTTCACGAAGTTCATAATGAAAAACGGTTATGCTTGAATTCGAACCATCGATTTATCATTTGAACACCTCTGTCTTTGCCACTAGACCACGAGATCTTGTGCTGAACGACAGTGGTTATTTCATACACTTTATTTTTATCTCAAAGTCCATAATGAAAAAAAGTTCGGATTGGATTTGAGCCATCGACTTGGCACATAGAAAACCACTGCATTCTGCACTAGACCACGACACCTTGTGCTCAACGGCCTTGCTTATTTCATTTACTCTATCCTTTTCTCGAAGTCCATAATGAAAAACAGTGATGCTTGGATTCGAACCATCGAATAACCTCACGGGAGACAATCGTCTTCTCCACTACCTACTAAACTGTGTGCCGAAATGCTATGGTTATTTCATTTACTTTATCCTTTTCGGGAAGGACATGATAAAAAACAGATACACTTGGATTCGAATCATCGACTTACCACTACGAAGACCATAATTGTCTTCGCCACTAGACTACGGGATCTTGGAGACCACTATAACCTTGGAGAAAAGGATGAAGCAAGTTAAATATAACCATATATGGTTCGTATATCGTATTAACCGTGAGAAGTTTTAATTCCAAATTTTTATTAATAATAAAGGAAGGTAATATTAGGTTTAATAAATTGATGCAGGCTTCCAATAATCAGTATTTAGTCTTGTGGGTCGTGAGATCAGGAACAGAATGGTTTTTTCTCATCGCAGCTAAAGAAAAAAGATATGGTATAGGTATGTTTCCTGGGAGAGGTTTGTATTCGGTTAGCCCTTTCAAATGAAAGTTAATCTTTAGGGAGATTCAGGGAATTCAGGGGATAGGTATAGATATATAGGTAGGGTGAATGCGTGGTATATAAAAATACTTAGTATATGGGAGAGTCGGGACGCTGGGATGGGATGGGAAACGAGAAATGGAAGTCTTTGTATTTCACTTATAAAACTTGTGGGGCTCGTATTTGCTCATGTACAGAAGAATGACACAGGACGATGACCGAAGGTCCGAAACAGCCGAATAATCTGAAATAAATACACTAATTATGCCACAGTTATGTTTGTTGACGAATCATAAAGCCTATTCTCATTAATACTATCTTTAAAATATTAAATGTCGTCGTATAACTTCGAAATGTAAAGCTCAAAATGTTGTGTGCTGAAAACGAGCTTCAGAAAGCAAGAGATTAAAATTTGCATGTAAAAAATAACGACTAAATCCTAGCCAATCAGTAAACATAATTTTGCACCAATCAACGATCAGAAATGCTAATTAGAAAGCTCTTCGTCGACGTCGAACTCACACTCTATATTATATAATCGTGGCCAAATCTCTCGGAAGGTCATTCGGAAATTTAATCCATAACGCAGTCACGAAGAAGAACAAGCGAAGTAAATATTGAAAGATGTCTGGACGCGGTAAAGGAGGCAAAGGTCTTGGAAAAGGAGGCGCTAAACGTCATCGTAAAATCTTGCGAGACAACATCCAGGGAATCACGAAGCCCGCCATTCGTCGTCTCGCTCGTCGTGGTGGAGTCAAACGTATCTCTGGTTTGATCTACGAAGAAACTCGCGGTGTCCTCAAAGTTTTCCTTGAGAATGTGATCCGTGATGCTGTCACATACACCGAGCATGCCAAAAGAAAGACTGTCACCGCCATGGATGTTGTGTACGCGCTCAAACGTCAAGGACGAACCCTCTACGGCTTCGGCGGTTAAACGACTGCATCTCAAGACATAACAAACCAAACGGCTCTTTTTAGAGCCAACAAATCTCGTAAAAGAATATAGCGGATAATCAGCGATATTAAGCATGCAATTTACTTCAATATACGAGGCAAATTTTCAAATTCTTTCTTTGTTGATTGATTGATTGGTAAAATTCCAGCCGAAACATATTTGTGTGTCAGACATGCACTGCTCATGACGCAAGCAAAGAACATGTTGACTTCAACGATTGTCGCCGCTAGCATTTTAAGATAAAATTTGAAAATAAATCCACATTTAAATAACGAATAGACTAATCACAAACAGTCTGTTCATGTGCACTTCAAGGTCAAGGAGTGCATGAGAATATGCAATTTTGCGGTCAGTTTCATAATGCAAGATAAATATGCAAGAAATAATGCCCGAAATGTCGCCGGTATAACAAAGGACATGATGTAATCTTTCGAAAATATTTTTAGCGTTAAAACGACATTCCATCGTGACGAGCATCTGACCACTTTGAAGAATGACTGAAACTGTTCCTTATGTTGTAAAATATTCCTTTACATCTTTCTTTGACCTCGCGAAGTGGTTCTCATTAGCATTATTTTCAGGTTTATTTGCATTCGTCTGAGAATAAAGAACTAAATGTTTTTTACCTTAATACAAAGATACTATCTACAAGTACATATTCAGTGCATAATACTTAAGTTAACTCATTCCAGAGAGATGTAAGAGTGTTATTTAATTTTGACTTATCCACCGTTTAAGCTAAACGGGTGGTATATTCTGGTGAGTATAACTTATTTTCCCCGCTTTTGTAATCTTGACCCAGGCATAACACTATTTAACTACACGTTGCATAGTTAAATCATGGTTAACTCAGAAATACACGACTCTGATTGGCCAATTATTCCCTTAGCTACAGCTAAACGTTAAAGGCTAATTTCCACTCCCGAAAACGAGCAGCGGATCGGATCGGATCGGAACGAAAGATAATCCGCACGTGCGCCGTCTGTTGAAATTTTTGGCTTATATTGATCCGAAAGCGTCCGAAAGCGTCCGTTCTTTATCCGATCCGAAATCACTTCATGGATCGGACCAGGCTCGGAAAAAAATCCGATCCGATCCGATCCGCTGCTCGTTTTCCGGAGTGGAAATTAGCCTTAACTCGCCTCTGCCCTCAACAACTGGCCTCTGATCTTTCCAACGTTAATTAGTAGAAACTCGTAATCATATACTTTGCTTGTTCGACGACGATTTTACATGTCAGTTGTGCCCCATCATGTATCAGACGAAAATTACCACAAAACAGAAGCGACCAGGATGAAGGCAAATAATAACAGTTCTTTAAAACAGCGTTTATCTTTTCTTTCACACGCAATTTAATTTTTAAAAAGCACACTTGAAAACAATGCATATAAAAACAGGTCCAACCGAAGCAACAGGTGATCGTGCATGACATGCAAATTTTGAGTTATTTCAGTTACATACAGAGAGCTATAGGATATAACAATGTATTTTCGTTACTTGAGACAAAGTACAATTTTATCCGCAATTTTCCTCACTCTTGTTGTTATGGCTCTCGTGAACATTATTTCCTTTTGGCAGTCTGATTTTTCTAATAATCGAAGATATCTAAGGGGCAGCAATCGAACGTACTTATCAGAGAACAGTTCACCAGTTTTCCTGAATGCAGACAACAAGATGTCAAAGAAATTTTTATACTTGCTTCAAACAGAAACGTGTATGCCAGAACATTTAAAAAATGCAAATGCCATTGGAAATTCATCGTCTTGTAATTGTGATGTCCTGATACTTGGCTACAAGTCTTCGTGCAATGAAGCCTCACCAGAGCATGTTCAACACGTGCACGATCCTAACACAACTTGGAGTACTGGACGAAATCTTCTTTACAACATTGCTATGAAAAGAACGACTAAATACCTGTATTATATTTATTTGGACGACGATATACTGCTTAAACCAAGCTGGGAAAACGATCGCGAGGTAAACAGCGACAATTCTTGGCGATTTTTTGAAAGATTTTTACTGGAATACACCCCACCAGTTGGTATAACTGGATTTTGCAACGCAAATTTTGTGCCATCTTGTAAAAGGCCAGACAAGCCCGCCGTTATTCGAATTCAGGGTTTATTTGATGCCGCTTTTAACGCTTTTCACGTTAAGGCTCTGCCGTACTTGTTACCTTACATAACAAAATACGAGGACATCTCGTGGTGGTATAGCCAACATTACTTACATGGTTTTGCAACGGTCAACTTCAAGGGAGAAGGTGTCGTGTCAAATGAAGCAATCACTGCTGTAAATATCAAACACAGGAATTATCCGCGAAGAGATGCAAACGTAGAAACCCTTAAGTTCATTATGCAGGATGTCGTTGAGATTGTAAAACGAAAGAATTTGCCAGAAATTGTGTGGCGAGGAAAGAAGGTGACTCGTGTGGTGTTGAAAAGAAGAGACTGTTCATGTTATTTGTGATACGCGGCCAAAAGATTAAATAGAATTTTTTGACAAATTAAAATGCAAGATTTATTTTCAAAACCCACGCGCACAACCCGAGCCACCGGCACAGCGACAAAATAGATAATTGTTTTCTAGCTAATTAATTTTTTCTCGTCAAATCTGTTTTTCTTTTTTAACAGGTACCACGCATTTTGTACGCCACATATTGACTCAGTCATACCTCATAAAGTCATAACACAGCATTCTTCAAGACATACAGTTGGTTAATAAGTTGTAAATTCAGATTACTTCATGGTTAGCGAGTGCGTACAATTTTTATGAGCGTACAAACGATGGCCAACCATGAAGTAATTTGTTTATTAAATGAATATAAAGTAAAAGCGAGCTACAAAATGAAATCTTAAGCATCAAAACATATTTATTACCGTTCAGTTTATTTCTAATATTGTTCAATGGAAGAATGAAGTATAGATATTCTTTCAGAAAGATTGTGATGGACGTGAAAATGTCTTGTATTTGAGTTATGTTTCAGTGAATCTCATCCCTACTTTCGACGCCTTCTCGAAAAAAAATGTAAACACTGAAATTGCCGCCAAAATGACATACGAAAATTTTTCACGTGTGAAGAATATCGTACGTCCAATCCAATTACAAGCTTATTATAAATTCCGAGTTGAAGACTTATTTGACAGTTTAATCGATCATTCACGGTAAACAATATAGCTTAATTCAAGAACATGACGTACATAGCCGTATAGCCATAGGACACTACTAGCTGTCATTGGCACACTTACCACGATTATTAGCTGCGTGGGTTACCATATGGCATATGTTCATGAAATGCTGAAAACATAAAATTGATGGCGTGAATTTAACTAACGAGGAACGTGATTTTGTTGATGTTCATAATTCACATAAAGCGTTTTAAAGTCACCTGTGGGGTATTTGGTCAGAAGACGAAGACCGAAATATCCAGCTTGAAATGAAGATAAGAATGATGCCCTTGACATTGTGTTTGTTTACCGATTCTGTAAAGCCTATTCCCACTGTCATAAAAATATTAAATTCTTAAATATGACAGATTCGCACCCTTTCCTTGTATAACTTCGAAATGTAAAGCACAAAACGAGCTTCAGAATGCAAGAGATCAAAATTTGCATGTAAAAATATAAGGACGAAATCCCAGCCAATCAGCGAACATAATTGTGCACCAATCAACGATCAGAAATGCTAATTAGAAAGCTCTTCGTCGACGTCCGACACGAACTCTATATTATATAAGCGTGGCCAAGTTTGAATGTTCAGTGAGAGGCATTAGGTGATCCAAAACAAGTCAAGTGGCAGAAAGGTAACAAGCGAAGTAAATATTGAAAGATGTCTGGACGTGGTAAAGGAGGCAAAGGTCTTGGAAAAGGAGGCGCTAAACGTCATCGTAAAATCTTGCGAGACAACATCCAGGGAATCACGAAGCCTGCCATTCGTCGTCTCGCTCGTCGTGGTGGAGTCAAACGTATCTCTGGTTTGATCTACGAAGAAACTCGCGGTGTCCTCAAAGTTTTCCTTGAGAATGTGATCCGTGATGCTGTCACATACACCGAGCATGCCAAAAGAAAGACTGTCACCGCCATGGATGTTGTGTACGCGCTCAAACGTCAAGGACGAACCCTCTACGGCTTCGGCGGTTAAACGACTGCATCTTAAGACATAACTAAACCAAACGGCTCTTTTCAGAGCCAACAAATTTCGTAAAAGAATATAGCGTTAAAATGCGATAAACAGCCCTAACTGAAACTGCTTGAACAGGGTGAACTGAACTGTTTTACTTCTTACTGTATGGTGTCTAAAGGAACCCAGCTGAGAAATATTTTGGATAGCAGAATGCCAAAAACATGCATGAATAGGTTAAGCAAGAATAACTTGAATAATTTGAATTTAAGATCTCTACCGCACAAACAAGGAAGTCACACGCCAAATGCAATTTCTACGCACTCTTGCCATAAGACATGTATATGTACAACAAGGTTTTGGTTTGAAATGACAATCAAAATCAACACGTGCAAACGCAAGATTTCAGCGATTAGGAATATGATCGGTTGATTTGGTTCTACACTTGAATAAGCCTTACCACCTATAGATAAAATTACACGGCATTTCGGTCAGTTATTTAAATTGCATTATATCTGCTAAAACGTGTCTGCGAAGGTTCTTGTTTCTCAGTTTTAGATGCTTTTGGTACTGCCTGAAAAAATATTTTGTATTAAAATACGCATTTTCTCAGAGTGCATGGATTATCCACTGGTAAAATTGAAGGCACCCTTTTCAGCCATTCCCCGTTCAAGCATTTGACTCGCCTTTAAAAAATTCGAATTTAATCGTCTGCCGAAGATTTAAATTCTAATTATGGGATCTAAGCATCGCGCCCCCGTGTTAAAGTACCACAATTGTCGAACAGTATGCAAATAATCTTTTGAAGAAAAATTTCTTTACAGTATAAATATCAACGATAACTTTTTACAAAGAAGCTATGACCTTAATTACAATATGTACTGTACAGGTGTAGAGACCTCATTTTTTTCTTACACAAACATATACGCGTGTATAGAAATATACAATTAACCCCACCCCTCCCCTACCAAGTATCACTACACTCGGAAATATACAATTAGTACTGCATAGCAGTATTGTCAAGATTACGTAACATGTGCTGTAGATCCTGACACGACGGGCAGAACATCGTGTTTTTCTCCACGAAAATTTTACCACAACGATTGCACAACCTTCGCGAGTTTCGTACGTCCTCGTTAATCCGTCGTACATCTTCGGGAACCCCGAGACCTCTCGAGTGGCCTAATGTGACGGGAACGTTGAAACGCTGAAGTAAGCTACCTGGTGGGTTTTTAGAAGCAATTTTAGAATTGTAAGGCGGCGGTTCGACATATATTGGGGTATTAAACGACTTACGATTCTGCCCTTGTTCACTTCGCGACCGCGTGTTAGCGTACGTGGGGGGTAAATTTGTACTCTGTAGGGTATTTGTGTTCATTCGGGGATCCTTCCCCGGATTTGGAGGCATATTATCGTAAATAGAACAACGACGAATGTCAGTATTTCGTAGACTTCTGGAGTTAGGTAACACCGTGCTGGTTTGCAACAATTGGTCAACTGGAGGACTGCGTACGGGGTTAAACGATGTTGACACGTGCGTTACCGTTGCGCTCCGAATACGAGGTTCTTCCTTCACACTCATTCGTTCCAAATCATTATTTAGACCGTTTATTTTACCATAATGGGCGGGACTGTAGCATAGCACATCTGGTTTAATTTTCTGCGTACAGTTTACTTCATCGCGTGTACTGCCGACACCACCCGAGTGGATAATACGAGAGTTTGTTCTTCGTGCAGTTGGCGGGGAGCCGGAGTCTGGACGATGATTATTTAGGAAAAGATCGTTTAATGATCGGCTTGAGATCGGACCAACATCGCTCAACTGAGCACGATCTTTTACTGAAGACCTTGGTAGGGTTCCCTGTCATATAATAAACAATTTTGGAATCAGACACAGAGCAAATGTCACTGAATGTTATTCTGTTACGCGTCTCAATTTTCTTAGGGCTGCTTTCCACCATCGCGTTTCTGCACTTGCGCAAACGCACGTAAAAAGCTTAACACCTTCTAAATTGTTGTATAATTATCTTTATGCCAACAGAATCCAACCCTATGCATCTATTCAGCTTTGATTTCACAAATATAATTTAAATTATTCGATCCGATCTCAAACTTTTACTTGCGTGTACGTACGAAGAAAAAACGCGACAGTGGAAAACAGCCCGTAACAACCATACACATTTTATAAAATGTGTACCACGCTTCTAGTACGAATTTATATCATATATAGCGTTGTTTCAAGTGTAAATGCATGCATTATCAAGGAATCACATATTATTAACATCTTACGTGAGTTGCAGGAGTTTGCTTCATTTCCCTCAGAACCTGTTGATCTCTTCCTCTCTGATTGTCGATTAACTTTTGTTTTTCGCGCTGTGAGAACATTCTCCTCTCATAATCATTTTTCTCGTTGATAAGACGGTGTAGCTCGCGAGACCTATCAACACATGTCGTGTATCTTCTCCTTAAGTTTGCCATGTACTCGGGGCTTTTGGTTACTGGGCAATTCTCAATGGCGATGCGAAATCGAGCTGAAACAAAGCAATGATTAATTTAGCAACATTAATTTGGACGGGGGCGTAACTGGACCGCTGAATTGGGGGGGGGGTGTATATTCATATATTCATGTTCATATACTGTAGGAACAATAGCGTACAAAAGAAATCCGTCTGGAATTAGGCGAATACTTGATAAGCTTCTCGGGAAATTACGTTGGGCTTTCGCCCCACGAAATAAGCTTCTAGCTATCGCTTAAAACCTTGATGACTGGGACCACAATTTCTTAGTAACCTATATCATGAGTGAGAGTGGGGCTTAAAGACACAAGAAAAAGTCGGAAATAAATGGTAATGATTTCGCTTTTCTCACAATATTCGAAAATTTCAGACCGCAAAACTAGCTAAAAAGAACTAATTATATGCTACTAAGGAAAATGTGCGCAAATACCTACAAAGAATTTTTTCTGTTCTACCCTGGGTTTTGACATCTGCAGGAATATAAAGAGTTTTTTAAATTGCAAATCCTAGATCAAACTTACTTGATGCGTTTGTTGCTAAAGAAAGCGACAATGCCAAATCGTCCTTTTCTAACGCGTATGACCTTCGCAATAAGTTTTCGGCTTCTTCGACTATGACGGCTAATTTTTGTTGAACGTCATTTGCTAAAAAAATCGAGAATTAGTCAAGGATTAGCGGTTTTGTTCGAAAATAAAACGAAACAGCCTTTCCCTATCTTTAGCTGATAAAAATTCCTGTTGGGTGAAAAATGTCTTATGACTGCCGACATTTTACTAATACGGACATCTTTTTAATACTGACAATTTCCAAATGATGACGTATTAGGGAAGGGTCAGCATTCAAGAGGTGTCCGTAATAGAAAAGTCTGTATCACGGACATCTTTTAAATGCTGACACTTACCTATTATGGACATCCTCTAATGCTAACAATTCCTTAATTTGGACATCTCTCTAATGTTGAGACTTCCCTATTACGAACATCTCTCTCTTATCCTGACACCTCGTATATTACTAACATCTCTCTCTAATGCTGACACTTCCCTATCACGAACATCTCTCTCTAATGCGGACACTTTCCTATTACGAACATCTCTCTCTTATCCTGACACCTCGTATATTACTAACATCTCTCTCTAATGCGGACACTTACCTATTACGAACATCTCTCTCTAATGCTGACACTTCCTTATTACAAACATCTCTCTCTAATGCGGACACCTCCCTATTACGAACATCTCTCTCTAATGCTGACACTTTCTTATTACGAACATCTCTCTCTAATGCGGACACTTCCTTATTACGAACATCTCTCTCTAATGCCGGCACTTCCCTATTACGAACATCTCTCTCTAATGCTGACACTTCCTTATTACGAACATCTCTCTCTAATGCCGGCACTTCCCTATTACGAACATCTCTCTCTAATGCGGACACTTCCTTATTACGAACATCTCTCTCTAATGCCGGCACTTCCCTATTACGAACATCTCTCTCTAATGCGGACACTTCCTTATTACGAACATCTCTAATGCCGGCACTTCCCTATTACGAATATCTCTACATGATATACATGTACCTTTTGAAGGTCGTGGAAAAGTTCTTGTTGAAAAATCAATGAGATCATCTGTGGTTGTATCAACAGAACTCACAGAGCTTGTGGCTGGTGAGCTGGCCTGGCTGCTACTAGATCCCACGCCGCTATCAACCTCGTCGACCTCACGACCACGAATTGAAGTTGTGTTGTAAGCACGCATGATCTTAGCCTTGGGGTCATCCCTGAAGATAACATTTTACAAAATTAATATAACTTGATGAATTAGATTATGTATGAAAGTAGCAGATTTGTCGAACAGAGTAAAACACTGAATGGTATACGATACACTACAGTTAAAATGCCATATTTCAAGTGTGTGGGAATATTTTAAGGATATTTTACTGAGTGTTCTTGGTGAAAATATCAAATTGTCTGGAATGCACGCAAAAACGCACATTACTAAAGAAAAAATATCATTTCATGTCTGTTGAGGACCCACATAGATTTTAAAGAAACTGAACGCTGATTTCTGGTTATCGTCGTGAATATTCATCTCTTTTTCCAAAGTCCCAAAATTCAGAATAATAATTTCAATAGCAATGCTCAAAAAAGATATTTTGGCATCAGATAAATACAAGCACACTGATCTCCTGCTATCAATTCTAGTCGTGGCACAGAGTTCATTTATCGTCGTCACCTGATTAATGCCATTCCCCAAATCCCCTCAAGTAAATATGTAAACAAAGAACATCACAAATACTCACTCCAGCTTGATGAGATCATCACACGAATTTTGTTTCCTCTCCTCGTTAATTCTTTCAACTTTCCCCGTATGCAAAGACTTCGTATTATTGTTATTCCTTTCTGGAGACGAAGAGTTGTCCTTGCTATAAGAAAACGCGGTCTTCACATCAGACGAACTTTGTTCCGGGGTAGGAGAATTGTTTCTACTACGAGAGAACGACCTCTTTAAATCGCTCGCACTTTGTTCCGGAGTAGGAGAATTGCTCCTACTACGAGAAAACCTGCCCTTCAGATTAGGCGTAGGTATATCTGGGGTAATCGGTGAATTGTTCTCGCTAGATACAGGAGTCCCAGGTTCGGAGTTATTTTGTTCCCGGGTCGGAGAATTATTCCTACTACGAGATAAGGCCCTTTTTATATCCGACCCAATGCCCCGTAGTTTCTTCATAGTCCTCCTGCTCTTTTTCCGATCAGGAGGCGAAAGCTCAACGTAATTTCCCGAGCCTCGGTCGGAGCCGAGCGAATGACTGCTGGAACTTGACAACAAGCCGTCGACAGCGTCGCCATTTGACTTGGTTTCGTCCACAACGGACAACGAGCCCCCGCTAAGGTCGTTCGTTTTTTCGTTCGTGAAACTCCGCGATCTGCTGTTCTCTTGGCTGGCGAGTAAGGTCTTCGTATCGACAAGTTTTACTTCGGAAAGAGCACGTTTCGTGTTGACGGGCACGCCGTGGGGGTTAACGTAGAGCAAGAGCAATGGCTGGTAGTGATTTTGACAGCATTTCTTGCGAATCGTCTCCCATTCTGAACCACACTAAATTCAAGAATAATTTTTGTTATCTTCAAACAATAGAACGACTAAAGGCCTAGCTTATTAAAAATCATAACAAAAGGTCTGCAAGCAATTAAAGCTCGTTATCGAAAGGTTAAAACAACGCGTTGAAAAATTCAAAAGAACGGACATTGGCATTGCAATTTTTAAAACATTTTTGTCTGTCTATAGTAAAGTATTATATGGTAAAATGTATTTGGCGCCTATATTTTTGAAGTAAATAACGTCATTGTTGCTATAGTTGCGGTTGGTAAACGTACTTCTCAAATTATTTTGGATATTTATGTTGAAATGTGCATTCGAACTGCCGAGAACTACCTTAAGCTAAATGACCTTTTGAGAAACCTCTGGAAGTACGCAAAGAGATTGAAACGTCTTAGTTGAGATGAGAACAAATCAGACAGGGATGGCAGCAACTAGTTTCCCATGATCAGGGCCCATGCACACATCACGTTTTCCCCACCTTGCGAACCCTGGCGTCATCAAAATAGATCCAAGTCCTGAGTTTGTCACTTTTAAAGAACGTCGAGTAATGTTTGCCGTAGTACGTGACCACGCCAGCCAACAATAGCCCAACCTTCCTGGCTCTATCGTCAACTACACGGGGAAATACCTGGGGAATATGCAAGGAAAAATTATAGGTTAGATGCATGAGGATAATGTAGTATATAGATCAGATTTAAGACAGAGTTACAGTGGGATTCAACCTCACGTCATAATCACTTACGGGCTGTTATTCAAAAGGGCGACGAGTTGTATGGTGCGGCGAAGCACAGATGAAGAATGGCGCAGATTTAAAGATTTTTTTTTAATTTCACGTTACCATTATCAGGCATGAAACATCGATGGTTGAATTTGATGGTTAAATTTCCGTAGAATTGTCTAGACGTTTGTTTACTTTTGTGAAAAGAGATTGGTTATCTCTGTTGGTTTCGAAACGGAAGAGACTAACCAACGGATGTTTTCTATAATATTGTATTGGCAAAAACAACCTTGTTATTTTCCGCAGCCACAACCGCTAAACCAAAATGCGTAAGTTTAGTCAGCAAATGCGCAATGCGGTTTCCCAGCCTAACCTAGCAATGTCCGTTGCGCAAAACAACATTTCCAGATCCATTGCACGTTCCGGTATCGCTCTGCATAAATATAAGAGACTCAAGCAAACTTCAGTCAGTGTTTAACGTGGACCTGCTTGTGAGTAAGCAACTGTCGTTGGTGCCTTTATAAAATAATTGGCGCGTCAATATCTATTCACGTTGGTACTCTAGAAATCTACATACTCTACGCTATTTTTCTATAAAGGTTTGGTGCGTGCGCAAACCAAAGTAAGTAAATTTGTTAAATATAATTGTTATTCTATGCGCTATGTTCACATTTTGCGCCATTTGTTTATTTTAGTAATCTGCGCATAATTCTTTGCTATAATGTGTTAGTTTGCATGCCGCACGTTCTAGTTAAGTATCGCTATTCCAAAACGCTAAATTCGCTGATTATTTTGCATGCCTAATTCAGTGTGTTTTGTTATATCATTGATAGCCACATATATATCGGCAATAGTAATTGTAGTGTTAAAGCATGTTATTCTCAGTATAAGTACTCGTTAATTGTCATATCATATGTATATCCTATTAGCTTTCTGTGTTATATGTCGTTTATGTTAGTTTGTTTAATTGTTATATTCTAGTTCGAACCGATATCCAGTCGATTCTCAATCGATTTCCAGTCGATTCTCAATCGATCTACAGTCCGTTTCCAGTCGTATTATCTACGGACAATCGTTTCTAGCTCGACTGTGTTATCCCAACGACGAGTTCGTGTTTGTCAGTCTATACCTGTAGTATCGTTGATTTATATAAATCCTCAGAACATTGTTATCAGAATCGTCTGTCGAGTTCGTTTTGTTATCCACGCACCCGTCTATTTAGTAGTTTCGTTTGGATTATCGTTGCTATTCAAATTCTGTTCAGACGAAAGCTACATTTTAGTTCGAATTTGATGCACTGTCAAAAGGAATTCGACGAATTTGTTACTGGTCAATTGAATGCGTCACGACTGTGTTGACAGCTTGTGATCCGATCCGATTAGCTACCGCAATCATAAATCAATTACCACCTTCTTATCCACGAAGCTTAAAGAAAATCTACATGGCTGAGAAGGCACGTTCAATAGAACAATTTAAGAAAGCGCGAAGTACCGCAAAATCAAAAATCACCAGAAAAATAAACACAATCAAAGGGTTTATGCAAAACCAAGATAACTTAGCTGTTGTCAAGGATCAATTAGGAGAACTGCACGATGAACTAAAAGCGTTCAAAGGCGTACACGAGGCCTACCATAGTCAGTTAGAATCTGATGTCGACTTGCGTGAATCAGATGACTACCGTCGTTCTGTCGAAAGAATTGCGAGGGATTTCGAACACGAGACAGGCATATGGCTTGCTGAAATAGCTCAAGAGATAGAAAAATCCTTCAAGCGTCAATCCGACTCTGAACTTGTGAACATTCAACCAGAAGACTCGATAAGTCAAGTGGGATCCCGTGCTTCGTATCGTACGCGCTCAACTTGTGGGTCGAAGACAAGCGTAACCAGCGCGAGAGCAAGAGCTGCTGCTAAAAGGGCTGCCCTACAAGTCGAAGTAGAACTTCTCGAACGTTTGCAGCAAATCGAAATGGAAGAGCTTGCTCTTCAGCAACGGAGGAAACAGCTTCAGTTACGTGGGGAGATTGCAGCAGCCGAGGCTGAAAGAGAAGTCTACGAGAAGCCGAATCCGAAACACGAAGTGATAGTTTACCCTCTCAAGTTAGAAACTTACAAGCGAGAAAACTTGAACCTGAAGTAACAACAGCCAAAGTTGAACACATGAACTTAATACGACCCCAGCTCCACCTAAACTCTCGATGTCAAACTCCACACCTGTTTCGGCAAACAGTACTTTGAATAACTTCCACGAAGAGTCCTTTAAGAAACTGGTCGAAGTGCAAGATCAACAGAGTCATGCCCTTCAACTACTTATACAACAGCAACAGCAGGGAGTTAAAGCCCTAACCCTTCCTCAACCAAGCATGCAAGTATTCAGCGGTAACCCCATAGATTATTGTGATTTTATCCGTTCTTTCGAGCATCTTATCGAGGCTAAAACTACAAGTTCAAGTGCTCGACTGTATTACCTGATCCAGCACACGTCTGGTGCTGCACAAGAACTAATGAAAGTTGCCTAACAATGGGAGAAGATGAAGGTTATAAAAAGCGAGAAGGCTGCTAAAGGAAAGATTTGGACAAGACTATAGAGTTGCTGCTGCACACGTACAGGGGCTTATAAACGGACCGCAAATTAAGAACGAAGATGGGATCGCCCTACAACAGTTTTCGGTGCAATTGACAAGTTGTACAAACACTCTGGAAAAGATCGGATACTTGGACAGATTGAACAACTCCGATAATCTAAAGAAATTAATCGACCGATTGCCTTATCCAATGAGGATCAAATGGCGAGACAACGTTGATCGAATCGTGGAAAGAGAAGCCAGAGATGTCAGTATTAAGGACGTAAATGACTTTGTCACCGCAAAGGCAAGAGCTACGACCCATCCCATCTTCGGGAAGATTTCCACCGCCGAGAAGGCACCGAAATTCCAGAATCCGAAGATGAGAAGAAATGGAGGAGCCGCAGGGTTTTCGAGTCAGACTACCAAACAAACGCTGAAGTGTCCGCTTTGTGGGTCAAACCATTGGTTATCTCGCTGCGACAAATTCCGAAAGCAATCGCTGGAGGAACGACAAAAATTCGTGAAAGAAAAGAAGCTCTGTAACAATGTCTCTCAACTGGTCACTTCGTCGTTCTTGCACCAAACAAAGCTTCTGTAAGGTGCAAGGTTGTACCGGAACCCATTCAACATTCCTCCACCCAAAACTCGCTGAGGACAAGCGTGAAAGCGAAGACTCGAAGAGAAACGAGAATAAAAGGATTCCAGAAGATCAAGGTATTAAAGACGCCTCAGATGGAGCAACCAACGGTTACGTAAAGTCACGGATCCCAAAATACAACTCTGTGACAGGTCTCGCGGTCGTTCCAGTCAAGGTGAAAGTAGCCGGGAGTTCTAGGACAGTAGAAACATATGCATTTCTAGATTCGGGATCCAACACCACGTTTTGTACAGACACCCTGTTGAAGAGACTCGGCGCGAAAGGGAAAAAGACAAAATTAACGCTCACGACAATACAAGGCGAAAATGAACCAATCGAATGCTCCTTTGTCAGTTTGGAAGTCTCCATATGGAAGGAAACGCCGACATCAAGCTACCCATGGTGTATTCGAGACCCAGCTTACCGATCCCATCTGAAGCGATTGGTAAACAAGAAGACGTCGACAGGTGGCCCCACCTGAGCGGAGTCAAAATTGCCACGATCGCCCAGGACGTAGGTCTGCTAATTGGAAGCGACGTTCCCTCAGCGTTACAGCCTATTGAAGTAAGAGAAAGCAACGGCGAAGGACCATTTGCAACTCGAACAGCTCTCGGATGGACATTGAACGGTCCATTGGGAAGAGAATCAACAAAAACTCCAACTGTGAATTCAATACAAGCTGACAGCAAACTAGATCGACAATTTGAACGTTTTTGTAACCTCGAGTTTAACGATAACCAGTACGATCCAAACCCAACGATGTCTCGAAATGATCTGAAAGCCCTTGAGATCATGGATGAAACTGCGAAGTTAGAGAACGGTCACTACGAGATGGCTCTGCCATGGAAAACATATCCACCAAATCTGCCAAACAACCGAGTTCAAGCCGAAAGTCGACTTCAGCTCTTGAAGAAACGATTGCGGAAAAATCCAGATCTGCACACCAAGTATAAGGGATTCATGTCTAATCTCTTAACCAACAATCACGCAAGCAAGGTTGTTGATCATAATGGTGGTCCGAAAGGAATGGATTGGTACCTTCCTCATCACCCGGTATTCCATCCTCAAAACCTGATAAAGTCCGAGTGGTCTTCGATTGCTCTGCAAAGTATAACGATACTTCCTTGAATGACCAGCTGTTACAGGGGCCGGACCTTACCAATTCACTCATAGGCGTACTAACTCGTTTCCGGCAAGAAGCCGTGGCATTCATATCCGACATTGAAGCCATGTTTTATCAAGTACGCGTAAGACCAAGCGACCGCAATGCATTACGTTTTCTATGGTGGCCAACGGCGACTTGGATAAACCACCTGAAGAATATCGAATGAATGTGCACCTATTCGGCGGCGCATCAAGTCCAAGTTGCGCTAACTATGCGCTGAAGAAAACGGCAACAGATAACGTTGAACATTTTGATGAGAAAACTGTTGAGACCGTTCGACGCAATTTCTACGTAGATGATTGTCTAAAATCAGTCGCTGACGAAAACGAAGCCGTCAAACTCGCAAAGGATTTACGAGATATGCTCGCGCGGGGTGGCTTCAAACTCACGAAGTGGGTTTCCAACTCAAAGAAAGTTCTAGAATCGGTACCAGAATCTGAAAGAGCGGCAAAAGTAAAGAACCTAGATTTCGATCAAACCTCCATCGAAAGAGCTCTTGGTGTCGGGTGGAAGTGTCATCCGACACATTTGGCTTCTCAGTCGTTATCAAGGATCGACCCTCGACTAGGAGAGGTATACTTTCGGTCGTTAGTTCTGTCTACGACCCTTTGGGTTTTGCTGCTCCTTTCATACTAATTGCAAAACTGATTCTGCAAGATCTTTGTCGCTCGAAGCTCGATTGGGATGACCAGATCCCTGAAGAACATCTAAACCGTTGGCAAGCGTGGCTGATTGATCTTCCTAACTTGGAAAAGTTAGCCATTAATCGTTGTTTTAAACCAAAAACTGCGAATCAGCCAGGAATCAACTCCATTCAACTTCACCATTTCTCTGATGCTTCCAGAATGGATACGGGGCAGTGACGTATCTCAGGACAGAAAACAGCTCGGGTGAAGTGACGTGTTCATTCGTCATGGGAAAATCAAGGCTGCACCCATTAAACCTGTAACGATTCCACGAATGGAACTGTCAGCTGCCGTTGTTTCAACGAAATTAGAAAGAATGGTAAAGAATGAACTTACTCTACCTATCGATCAATCGTATTTCTGGACAGACAGTACATGCGTTTTACGTTATATAGAAAATACAGAGAAACGTTTTCAAACTTTCGTTGCTAATCGAATAGCTTCGATACACGATGCTTCTACACCCAATCAGTGGAACTACGTTGACACTGAGTCGAATCCTGCCGATGACGCGTCGAGGGGAGTTTCAGCCAATTCTCTACAACGTTGGATTGAAGGTCCGGATTTTTTGCGCAAATCTACCGAATCCTGGCCACAAAGACCAGCTGAACTAAGTTCAAACGTACCTGACGACGATCTCGAGATAAAGAAGAGCTCGGTTGTATGTGCAAGCAATTCACCGAAGCCAGCGCAAGAACCGTTTGCGGAAATATTCCAAAGGTTTTCATCCTGGACAAGATTAAAAAGAGTGATCGCATGGATGCTCCGCTTCATCACAAACATACGTCGCCAACAGCCGAATCGAGCCACAGATATTCGAACATCTCCACTTTCCTTGAGAGAATTGGCAAAAGCAGAAAATTGGATCTTGAAGAGTGTACAAGCAAGTTGTTTTGCAGACGACATCCGTCGTCTTCAAAGGCCTCCGCGTCAAGTAAAACAAGTCATCCATGCACATCTAACAAGTCCAGTACTTTAGTCAAACTAGACCCAATCATGGAAGATGGTCTAATCCGTGTTGGAGGTCGTCTCCAACAAGCACCGATCGTATGCGACGCACAACACCAAATTATACTACCCAAGAAACATCATATAGTCTATCTGCTGATCAGATTCTATCACTACATGTCCGGGCATTCAGGCTTGGAATACACCCTATCCTTAATCCGTCAAAGGTTTTGGATCATAAAGGCAAGATCAACCATAAAGAAAATATTGAACGAATGCGTTAGCTGCAAGAAAACAAGCATCGGCCGTAGAACAGAAAATGGCAAGTCTACCGAAGGACCGCGTTACGCCGGCAAAGCCGCCCTTTTCATTTACTGGTGTCGATTGCTTTGGGCCATTCCAGATTCGGCGTGGTAGAGGGACAGCGAAACGTTATGGCATCATATTTACGTGTCTGACACTTCGAGCCATTCACATTGAAGTAGCAAGTTCGCTGGATACAGAATCATTCATCAACGCGTTGAGACGGTTTATTGCGAGGCGAGGCCAGCCAGAGGAAATGCGTTCAGATAATGGGGGGAATTTCGTTAAGGGAGAAAGAGAACTTCGCGAGGAAGTTGAAAAGTGGAACCAGTCTCAGATTCATGATTTTCTTGTCCAAAGAAGTATCAAGTGGACGTTTAACCCACCTGCGGGCTCACATCATGGCGGAGTGTGGGAAAGATGTATTCGCACCGTTCGAAAGGTTATGAGATCAATCACAAGAGAACAAACGTTAGATGAAGAAGGCCTCAACACGCTGATGTGCGAGGTTGAATCGATCGTGAACGGACGACCCCTGACTAAATTATCAGACGATCCACGTGACCTAGAACCCTTAACCCCTAACCACCTGTTACTTTTGCGAAGTGGTACGAAGGTTCCACCAGGCGTTTTCTCCAAGGATGATAGCTATGATAGAAGACGTTGGCGACAAGTGCAACATCTCGCAAATGTTTTCTGGAGGCGATGGATACGGGAATATCTACCCTCACTACAAGAGCGACAGAAATGGAACAAACAGAGACGAAATCTGGCCGTTGACGATGTCGTTTTGATCATGGACGAAAAGACGCCGCGATGCTCATGGCCTCTTGGACGTATACTAGAGGTTTACAAAAACGGAAAGACGGACTGGTACGTTCGGTGAAGGTAAAGACCAGCACATCTGTGTTTGTGCGACCCGTGGACAAGATCATATTCCTGGAATCCGAGGCAGATACAGTGAACGATAAGTGAACCTTAAAATACCTAGCGCATGCGTCAATTAAGTTTAACGTAGATCACACGGACGGTGATGCTTCTATATAGTTAATGATTATTATCAATTGTTTCGAACCCATGTACGTGTTTGTAAAGGCTAATTTAACGCCTTTAAGGGGCCGGAATGTTGGTTTCGAAACGGAAGAGACTAACCAACGGATGTTTTCTATAATATTGTATTGGCAAAAACAACCTTGTTATTTTCCGCAGCCACAACCGCTAAACCAAAATGCGTAAGTTTAGTCAGCAAATGCGCAATGCGGTTTCCCAGCCTAACCTAGCAATGTCCGTTGCGCAAAACAACATTTCCAGATCCATTGCACGTTCCGGTATCGCTCTGCATAAATATAGACTCAAGCAAACTTAGTCAGTGTTTAACGTGGACCTGCTTGTGAGTAAGCAACTGTCGTTGGTGCCTTTATAAAATAATTGGCGCGTCAATATCTATTCACGTTGGTACTCTAGAAATCTACATATTCTACGCTATTTTTCTATAAAGTTTGGTGCGTGCGCAAACCAAAGTAAGTAAATTTGTTAAATATAATTGTTATTCTATGCGCTATGTTCACATTTGCGCCATTTGTTTATTTAAGTAATCTGCGCATAATTCTTTGCTATAATGTGTTAGTTTGCATGCCGCACGTTCTAGTTAAGTATCGCTATTCCAAACGCTAAATTCGCTGATTATTTTGCATGCCTAATTCAGTGTGTTTTGTTATATCATTGATAGCCACATATATATCGGCAATAGTAATTGTAGTGTTAAAGCATGTTATTCTCAGTATAAGTACTCGTTAATTGTCATATCATATGTATATCCTAATTAGCTTTCTGTGTTATATAGTCGTTTATAGTTAGTTTGTTTAATTGTTATATTCTAGTTCGAACCGATATCCAGTCGATTCTCAATCGATTTCCAGTCGATTCTCAATCGATCTACAGTCCGTTTCCAGTCGTATTATCTACGGACAATCGTTTCTAGCTCGACTGTGTTATCCCAACGACGAGTTCGTGTTTGTCAGTCTATATCTGTAGTATCGTTGATTTATATTAAATCCTCAGAACATTGTTATCAGAATCGTCTGTCGAGTTCGTTTTGTTATCCACGCACCCGTCTAGTTAGTAGTTTCGTTTGGATTATCGTTGCTATTCAAATTCTGTTCAGACGAAAGCTACAATCTCAGATAATCACATTTGACCATAAATAATTACACTAAAAATTTATTGGCCTCGGTGAATACTGGATATCACTGAGAATAATCTAGGCCTTGTCTGGTTGGTTCTTTAGCGATATCTATCTCATCTTTGGTGAATAATTATTAATTTGTGAACTTTGTACAGAGCACGACTCGTGACTACAAGTTTTGCATAATGGCGTAAGCAAACAATACGAGTAGACGACTAATTTCGTGCTAAAAATTACTTCTAACAAAGTTTTAGCAAGCTGGGTCCGGTTGTATCAAGTCATGATCAACTTTAAATAACACTCTTGCATCTCTCTTGAAGAAGTCAACTTGAATATAATGCACTGAATATGTAGTTGAATATGTAGTTGTAAACAGTATATTTGTATTGAGGTTAAAAACATTATGTTTGCATGCAAAACGGGCTTGATACGACCCCTGGACATTTACCTCAGGCAAACGAATGACGGGATCAATGCAATCCAACAGCTGTGTTATCTGTTCAACGTCGGGCGTTTCAGAATCCCAGATCAGGCCAATGCACACTGCAAAAAATTTCTTTGTGTTTGTAGCGGATTTTTTTTTTCTTTTCAATATGACGTGGAGAGAAGAATGATATTCACTAAGTTTAATCAAGGACAAGGTCTAATTCAAATTACACAGTGGGATACGAACATCAACATGAAATAACATACCGACATCTGGGCAATTCAAAAGCGACTGTTGCACTTTGATTTTTTTTCCACAATTACCCTGAAAAGGAAGAAACAGTCTAATGAGAAAACGTGTTCTCTTCTTATTAATTTTCACGTTCACGCTACGGGAACTGACCTGTATATATATTTTTACATATTAGTTTATCTGGACTGACGGATCAAGGTCAAAAAGTGTTTTGTTTGCGGGCGAATTGCATTGTTTTGTACACTTTTTATCAGTAAAAGCAGGGAATTACAAGGCCCAAAATAGTCTTGGGATAGGTGTAGTCCAGTTAACTAATAAACTATTATTATATACATATATAAGCGCCAGATATATATGAGGTATGCTGCAATTTCATTGGTTGGTTACTAGACAGATATTAGCTCATATCTGTCTATAGAGAAAGTAAACAAAATGGCTGAAAGATTTGGGGAGTTGAGTGAAATAGAAATCCAAGCTTTGGTTGATAATAGCACACCAAAATGCACCGAAAGGGAGACAAAGTTTGTGTATATAATAAGCTATCAGCTCATATACGACTCGAGTTCGCAGAATAACTCTTAAATATATTTAGCTAGACCTTCATCCACGCATGATATTTTGATGGATGTGAATTGGGCCCGACAAAAATGAGTCGTGTCCATGAACAGAGCTTTATACTTACATCTATTTCAACGTATTGCATGAAACTCAGTGTACCTTGTATTGGTTCGAATATTTCTTTCAAGAATAACAAAAAACATTGCTATGTACTTACGGGGCACGTTCTAACATCTCCTTGATTAACAGCCTTCTTCAACAGGTAACCAAACATATCCTCATTCAATCCTTTAAGTTTGCTGCTTAAGACGTCCGCCTCGTGACTAAACAAAATATTGTTAAAAGAGATTTAGACCCAGAGGCCGGTTATACGAAAGCCGGATAGCGCTATCCACCGGATAGTGATCTTTTCAATCGCTTTAAAATGGCAGTTTTGATACAATTTTGAAGTCATGTAACATTTTTTTATCGTTAATTTTTGGGCAAATATCAACAAATCTCTCCTTACTTTTAGTTGCACATAAGCACATTTCCCGCTGTAATATTCAAAAGTATATACAAAATTTGCCAACTTCGCGTGCATGGCTACAGTATATTTCGTGTATAAACTTTATAATATTTCGCCAGCGGCCAAACTTGGCAATCGATTATACTAATTTTAGTATGCTTTTTGCGAAAATTTATCGCAAATAAATAAAAAGTTTTATTATAGCGCATAGGGTCCATGGAATTGCACTGTTTTGCTTCATTAGCAGCGGCCAATGTGCATGTGTGTATTGGACTGTTTACTTATAGTCTGCAGCAAGCTTGAAAAGAATTTTTTAACAAACGTGATTAACTCACCATAAAGCGGAGACCGACACGTAATGAACCAGCTGGGAAAATGGCAATGGTTCTGACGTTGCACCACAGGAACAGATACTCTGAACAGAAATTATTATTATATATACTACTTCATGTTTCAAGACCGGCCTGCATGGGATCTTCGCTAGCAAGGTTACTCTGGTTTACTAGCTGACACGAATCGAAACAGAATGCCTCTGAGGGCAGACCTCTCGAATAAAAAGGTCGATAAAAATCCAAAATCGTAATGTTCAAACGTAAAATAACCGTCCACGCTGCATACTTAAGACCAAATAGTAATAAAAAATGGTAAGAAAAAGATGGTAAGAATTAAGAAAACAAAACGACACATAAATCTCCTGTTAACTAACCACATGCAATTTTCACAATGATCAAATCCGGGTACCAAGCGATGACAACATGCGTTGACGAAAGTGTTAATTGTGCATGCAGCTAACATTTAGGGAGTAATTAATACAAATTTGCATAAAAACGTTTAAAAACAATCAGCAAACACGAAAACGTTACATGCACCATATAAAATCCGTCAGTGTTGTTTGTAAATTGTAACTCAAACAAGAGTATTTATGAGACACGCAAATTTTCCGTGTGCAGATAATTACAATAGCTAAAGCGTCAAAATCCATCATATTTTGAGCCCAAAATGGTATTACATATATAAACAATATTGTTGGTTTATAGCGTATATACACCACACTAGTACCTGTTCCATGATTTCCATCGCAAATTTTCTGTGTGAAACGCAGTGGGCAGCACTACACACTTCATCTTTCTCATTCATGGCAAAATGAAAATGCAGTCGATTTAAGATGTTTTCCTAGTGCAGAGGAAAATATATTAGCAAACAGTGGAAGGAAGTGATTAGGTTTCAGTCCATAATTTGTTTGCAGATAGATGCTTTTGAAAACAAAAATTACTAAATTCATGTATTAGTGAAGAAAATTAACACTTCAGCCTTGTAGAGGAATGTGTATAATGAAAGATATGTGAAAGTTGAGATCCAGGGGACGAGTGCACCCACCACTGGCAGAGATTTCCAGGGGCCAAGTACACCCACCACCAGTATCTAGTACCAGTTTGCCAAAGATGCCTTGAATTAGGCTTTTTGGAAATTTTAGTAGCATTTAATATTACATTGTCCAAAGTAATCAAATCAATAAACTTACAAGGCATTCAGCAGCATCATCCATATCTTGTAACTGAAATCTTTGTTGATCCTATAAAAAGGTACATATATCTTCATTTAACAATGGATAGCCTGGAAATCTCGATACAGTAAGTGGTGGACAGGAAACTAAAGTTTAATTTGGTGTAACCTTTACTTGTGTTGACTAACTACAGTGTTCTAAACTTTGGCATTTAGGTCTGTCCTACACATTGATTCTACTCCTTAATTGCAATAGAGGCCTCCATTTGCAAAAATGCCTACATACCAGGAGGTAATTAATTTTCTGTGTCTTCATATTTTCTTCCACATAAACCTTAGTTCATGTCTTAACTTACCAGCATAGCAGACCAAAATATTACTCAGACAGTATATCCGGTATATTGTATTTCAAAATTGCAGCTGATAATGAAAATCTTTTATACTTAGGTCTCTTAACCTTACAAACTTACTGTCCACAATGTTCCCAAATTAGCATTTAAGTCTACGTAATACTGAACAATTTTAGCTACACTGAATGCTAAATTAGGAGGGCTTGTTTGATATTACTGAGCCACAACACCAATATATACCCTGTAAATACCTTGAATGTTACAGCCAGTGCCTGTCTCAGTGCATCTGGAGGTAATGCTGCTTCGTCACTGTATTGAATTTGGGTGAATATGACCTGTAGTGCAAAGTAATGTAATATTTAGCAGTAGACTTATAACTATGGAGATTTTAGTTACGCAAAACCTGACAACTCTCACAATTGCACTCAATGCAATGTGTGTCACACAATTACCCACATTACTCACAGTCTCATGACATGACTCACTTTTCTCAAAATTTTAATTATTTATTTCATTTCTTGCAACTTACATTGTAACCTCTACTTTAGTTCCATACTAAGTTTCCATCAAGGCAGGAATGATTATTATTATTATTTGCCTAAATAATACACTAATTCACCTGTGCTTTCCGCACTTTAATTTTATTTATTTGCAGCATAATGCATAATTATATAAATTTCAAACACATGGCTTTTATTGAATTTTAACATGGCATCATGGCAAATCGTACATAAACACACAGTGTCTCGCTCCATTTTATAAAGTCTTCAGATTCCTTTAACACTAGATCAAAGAAAACCTCCAGATTTCTTACTATCTGAGGTTAGCAGGTCTGAAGTTGGCAATTTATTTGATAAAGACAAACAACAAATGGTCAGACACTGACCAATAAATGTATAAACTATCCATGAACTAATATATTTTTCAATCAAGCAAGGTGTAAACAGAAATACATAATGTCTTTCATTCATATTTTGCATCAACTGATACAGTAAATGCTAGGGAATTAAGGACTTGACCCTTTTTGGCAAATGTCTGACCATCAGACCAGATAATTGGCCCTTTGTCCATAGCAAAGCATAATCGACATGGATTTATATGCAGTAATAGAAGATTTGTCAGGAGAGTTCATCTTACACCAAATGGATTGCAATTAATTTGAAATTAGCAAATTCTAAACATTGTTCCTATAGTATCACTTGAACAATTAAGGTATCAATATTGCTATTATATTCATATAGCCATGTCATTACATGTATAATATCTTGCTTGGCACTTTTATTATGTGTGCAATTATATAACTTCAGTTTAAAAAAATTACACTTATGATGAAATTTTTAGTCAATATAAGGGATATGCAGGGCCATCCTCAAGATATTTTACAGGGGGGTGTAAGGTGATCTAAACTGACTGATCGACGGACTTGTACCGACTACACTCTGGATGAAACTTTGTCAAGTTTATATTGGATTGGTCTATAGTGTCAAAAATCTTTTTGTCTGCCAACTAAAATAGCAATTTTACCGACTGAACATCAGAATAAACTTTCTGGGGGGGTGACACCCCCCTAAACCCCCGTGGAGCTCCGGACCTGAATACAAGCTATGTGCACATAATGGGAGGCCCAAAGAATTCAGGTGGCATCCCAATTGTTCTTAAATATGTTACTTTTTATGTACCTTCAAAGCACAAAATATGCATGATTCACCAACACAAAAATGGCCAGAGATTTCTCGAAAGCTTCGGCGAAATACATCGAGATGCCACAATACCTAGCAATAATAAAACATTACATGTAAGAAGTCAAATTGCTGTGGCTGCTAACACTTAACCTTTGATCACAATCATCACATGTTTGATAGAGGAAATGCACTAAGTGAATAAATGCAGTCATGTCTTGAAGTACAAAAATGTTATTATTGTTGCCAGGGATTACTCTAGAGGACAAAATCTGTTAGGATTGTTCACTAACCAAAAACATAAACCATAATTACTATGGCACTGAGAAATATCAATCAATATTGCTTTATAAAGAAAGCAACAGTTTTATCAAATTACCATGTTCAATATGGATATGAATTGTTACTTAATATACCTAAAGAATTTCGTACACCTGTATAAACACTACAGCATTGAAAACTGCTAAACTAAAATTATTGGATGGGTGCGAATTCCTTCTATTAGTATTGTACAAATGTTGTACCAAACACAATTTTTATCGTTCTAAAGTACTGGGCAATAAACCCACTCGAAAATACTTAAAGCGCCAGCGATGACAGGCAAAAATAAGAAAATTCATAGTACAATTTAGGACTAAACTAGTTGCAATTTTGTGACCAAAAAATAGCAACATTCGCTGTGATTTGAGATGTTTTTTTGATACTCACCACCAACTATCAGATATGTTAAAATCCTACTCTACTTTAATCAATTCATGTCTTCAATCTTCAAGTGCTTAGCAATTGTTCTTCGATATCAGACCATTTCTGGTTTATATTGTAAGCAATTGTGCGCGGAAAGCTGAATCATATAATTTCATTCATGATAAACAAGATTGCTCGTTCGAAGTTAATTGTAAATAAATTCTTAAAATTCGCGCATATTTGCTTGCTGTTAACAGTCACTGCGACCGAAGACAAGTCTATTGACATTTGCCCATGTAATTCGTGTCTAGAAAACGTCGAAGTTATCTTTCTAAACTCACTAAACAAACAGGCGAAATACGAGACCTAAATGGGTGATATGACCCAGAACTTAGGACGGAATTCGGAAAAATTCTCACGGCTGTTAAAATAGTAAAATGTGATGAACATCACCTGTACAGCGGAGTTCAAAAAGCAGTTATTCTCGCCGGGATTATTGAGAAGTCCTTTGGTATAAGCAACCGAAGCTGTCCTCGACAGCCTCTCACTTTTATCCATATTTCCCACAGTAAATGATCGAGCAGGTCTCTGCTATTTATGAAGCCATATGAGATATATACACTGACATCCGCGATTTATCACGGCAAACAACTCGACTTCGAGGCAACTCTTCCGTCTCAAAAGGCGTTCGACGCTGTTAAATGAATCTCGTTAGCTCTAAAATAAGTTCTGATGTCGATCGTGCCAATTTAAAGTGTAGCGATTGGCGATTTTCCACACCATTGCGTAAATGTTTTCAAAACTCCTTCGATACGAAGATAGGAATCCATGTTTTGAACGTGAGAAGTATCAAATTACCAACAATGCATCGGCATCGTACAATTATGACGTCACTTTGGGTAAACAGTTAGTGTAAATATCGCACCTTATATGTAAAGAAAAGGAAATTTTGCATCACAAAAAACAAAGGACTGCCGGTTATATCATAGCCGTAAATAAGATAAATGCTTTGTGCTGACTTCAAACGTTTGCCATGGCGGAAAAGTCATAACATTTGAATGTTAATTATCTCCCCCCGGACCCCGGGCGCCCTCGGTTAGCTCTAAATGGCCCAGTCCTGTCCAGCACCCATCCGCATGCTACATGAAAAGGTCACGTATTATTCTGGTTATCGTCGTCAAGCCAGACTTTAACACACATCCCGTAATCCGATCTACCACAAAAAAACCCATCGAAATTAATGTTACATCAAGCTATAGACATGGACAGTATATCTGATTTATTTCCCACACTATTATAGGCTACACTACAGGCTACTATTTTAACCAGAAATTACTGATAGGCAAAGCGGCTTCGCTCTTTTATCTAAATCGCGACGCATAATTATTAATACCGCTTATTAAGCCGGATTGCTAAAGGCCGGCCCACACTAGAGCTATGTGCTTAGCAAAAAGTCATTCCGGCGACTTTGGTCATTCGTGCCGTCACGCGCACACAAGAGCAAGTAAAGTCGCCCGCACACGAGAGCAAATGGCGTACGCCAATGGCCACGAATGACTTTTTGTTAAGCACATAGCTCTAGTGTGCGCCGGCCTTAACGGAGCCGTCGGAGCGGGTTGAGACTCAAATTTTGTACGTATTACACGGTTGTAAAAAGTTTGCGTCGAACAGTCGAAGGTCAGAGAACGAAATAGTCGAAATGGATATACCAGGGGCCGGTTGTAGTTGTACGAAGGCTCAAGGCTGGATAGCGCTATCCACCGGATACCGGATAGTGATTTTCCAAACATTTTTCAAATTGAAAAACGTTTTTCAAATTGAAAACGTTTTTCAAAACAATTTTTCAAATTGAAAAAGCGATAAAATTTCAACTTTGGAAATCCTCGATTTAGAGGATCCTCGATTTAGGAATACTAAGATTTGATCATAGTTATAGCAAACAACTGTTGATTTTGACTTGAAAAAATACTATCCACTTATCCAGTGGATACGCTTTCCGGCTTTCATACAACCGGCCCCAGATAGATAGACCTCTGAGAGGCTCATCCAAATGCGACGTATGAACTAGGCCTGATTTTCTTCTTTCATTGATGAATAACAGTGAATTATATATTAAAAGTTGCATTCAGTTATTGCATAGAGTATAGAGGTCAGCTAAAAAAAACGAGCGCGCGGGGGTGTTTGGGATGATTTACCCAAGCACCCCGCGCGTGGCTTATTTTCAGCTCACCTTTATACAATAACTGAATGCAACGTTATATATATATTTTACTATCAAAGCGCCTGGGTACGAGGGTGCCCCTTCATTGAGCATCCGTAAATTATCCATGCACCCGATCACGTATTCTGCTGGAAGAAGTGTCAAGCTCACCGGTGTCAACAGCAGCCTCGTACCCAGGCGCTTTAATAGTAAAATCAGTGAGTAAAATATATAACGTTGCATTCAGTTATTGGATAGAGGTCAGTTGAAAAAAGGCGAGCGCACGGGGGATCACTGATCTCATACACTGGTATCCATTAAGGTCCATTAAGGCCCGTTTCCACTTGCGATTAGTGGCTAGTGCTGCGAATTTGTGAGCGATTTCCTTCTTTTGATAGATGTGAACGAGTAATAAGTTTCCAATGCTCTGATGTGTACGAGCATCTATAGTTGAATATCCGCAAGTGTAAACGGACTTTCCATGGAAAATACGAGGGATTAGCTGTGACAACTAGGCATCAAATGTGGTATATTAATTAACGGCTTAAAATAGGAAAAAATACTTCTCTTCGGAGAGGGCCCTTAGGACAGAACGTTGAGAAGTGTTGTTATCTCCTTTAAGCAGTTGGCGTACATAATTTGATGCAAAGTTGTTAGAAGACACTGCCATGTTGCTCCTTGGTTATATAAATATAAGTTCTGTTATATCTAATTTTAGATTGGTTCACAAACCCCAGATGGTTTTAATGTTACATCATCACCTTCAAATTGCTTACATACATGAACCATGTTCACGACATACTTGGCACAGTTCCTTACGATGATCCACTGGTTTTGTCGCTCCTGCAACCTCTTTCAGCTTCATTTTATTCAGTGGACAAAGCATTACTGGAAAACATCGAACTAATTTTCCCCTTTGATCAAAGCACCAATTGCAACCTTGCCATTTGTTTTTATAACATTTGCCACTTTTCCAATCCTTCTTACAATGTTTACAGTAGTAGTGACCAAAACATCTTGCATTATTTGGATATTCTTCAAATGTAACCACCAATGAACCTTTATTGACATCTGAGACTTTATTAGGGTACTTTTCCTCTAAATACTTCAGCACCTTAGGTCGTATTTTCTGTTCACGTACTGAATGATGTCCAGCACCAACAATAACTTCAAGCCATGTTTTCTTCTCACTTTGAGCTTTACCCATATTTTCTATAAATTCATCAATCTTTGCTTTTAGCATTCTAATTGCTTCATCTCCTTGCTCTTGTCGTTCTTTTATAATATTGGTCACCTCTTCTTCCGGGTTGTCCTGCAGCAGCTCTTTTTCATCCCTGGCAAGTGTTTCTTCATCAACCACTAACAGCCCATGAAGGTCAACATGGTTCAATCCTCGTTCCTCATTGAAAAATGCAAAAATTTTCTCGCATGCCTTTTCATTATAGATCTTCATTAGATTAGCATATTTCTGTTTGACGCCTTTACAGAATGATGATTGCTCAAAATATTTAGCTTTATAACTCTCCATAGCTTTCTCTCTCCACTTTATTCGTTTTGCATTCATTTCTGAAGCCTTCTTGCGACAGTAAATTGCTTCAAGAAGGTTTAAGAGCAGTTTTTTACATTTCTGAATTTTCTCATTATCAAGCATTGCAGGTAAAATAAAACAAACTGCACTAGACCCAGTGTTATTCTCAACTTTTATAGATTTTGGTTCATTTATAGAACAAACTCTTGCAATGTTCTCAAGGTGATATCCATCTGCTCCTTCAACTTCTTTTGCTGACACATTGTCACATTTAAATGCTTTTTGATTTGGTCTGCTATTACTTTTCATCACTTGGCATGCTCGCTTGTCAAATTCTTCGTACACAGTCAAGTACAGATCAAATTGGATTTGTGTTTCTTGAAATGTGAATCCAAGTTTTGCTTTACCTTTTTCATTATGTTTGATGGATTTCAACAGAACAGTAGCCTCCCATGAATGATCACTCAATTTTTTAGGTTCCTTAACATTAATAATGTTTTTCTTATATTGAGAAACAGTCAACTCTTTAGATGAAAGTGACTCCTGTTTGGTTTGAGAGTCACCCAGTAAAGAAATCAAACACTTAAAGTGGTCATCATCAGGAAACAAGGCTGGTTCAAGGTCAATCAATCCATCATATTCTGGCTTCAATTCAACAGAGAATTGGTTCGTTGGCTGCTTTGGTAATGGTTGAACATCACTGGCAGTTTGCCACTCTGGTAATGGTTGAACATTTCTGGAAGTTGGCCACTCTGGTAATGGTTGAACATTTCTGGCAGTTTGCCACTCTGGTAATGGTTGAACATTTCTGGCAGTTTGCCACTCTGGTAATGGTTGAACATTTCTGGCAGTTTGCCACTCTGGTAATGGTTGAACATTTCTGGCAGTTTGCCACTCTGGTAATGGTTGAACATTTCTGGCAGTTTGCCACTCTGGTAATGGTTGAACATTTCTGGCAGTTTGCCACTCTGGTAATGGTTGAACATTACTGGCAGTTTGCGACTCTGGTAATGGTTGAACATTACTGGCAGTTTGCCACTCTGGTAATGGTTGAACATTACTGGCAGTTTGCCACTCTGGTAATGGTTGAACATTTCTTGGTTGGACAAGTTGCTCATTTGTTCTTTTGCAGCCATAATCATTATTTACAATTGGCAACTTTGGAATTGATTGATATTTCACCCTTTTTCGATTCATCACTATTGGCATTGCCAATTGGTGGTAATGAGGGCTGAACAGTTATTAAAAATTCTGATCGACCTTTAAATTTATACCTCGTGCCCAAATCTATCCCAACGGTTGCCCTTCCAGGTTGTTTTGGAAGATAAAAAATGTCAAGCACTTTACCTGAGGAACCTTGTAGTTTTATGTTCATACCCCAATCGCTTTTGCAGAATTCGCCGTCGCCCTCACGTATAATAATAGTATTATTAACAAGAAATGAATTAAAAACATCCCTTTCGTTAACTAACTTGATTGAACACAACAGTGTTTCGGTTCCGCACTGTGCTGTCGATGAATGCTGGAGCAAAATAACTTCCTTTTCAACTTTAGCAAATATTTGTAAATCCATAGGCATAGCACAACCGCGATAACCGCGATAAACGACACAATCCAAATGAAGCAATCCTGCCACATATTTTCCCAATAGTCTTTTATCTTTTATAATATTTATAAATTTCCAAGAGACGACTACAATATTTCCGTGACAGAATGGCGGAAAACAGATAACATATAGTCCAGAAGTGTAATTATGTTTTCGCGCCTCAAATTTCAAAAAACACAGCAAAATCAAAATGCACACGTCATGAAACCCTCCACTGACCCTCACATACGCAAACTTGTCACAAAAAGATGGCTACTGTGGATTTCTCATAGTAATTTTCCTGATTTTGGCAAGTTTGAGAGGGACCGACCTTGAGACAGACATTTTATATCTTTTATGCACGGTATATTATTATATATTATCTTAAAACATTACGGTGTTTTTTAATTACAGGAAAATTACAGTTCCTGGATTTTTTCCTTGATTTTGATTGTGGGTCATTTGGACCAATCCGCATGACAATGGCCTCTGAAATACCGCTGGTTGAATGACCGC